AAGTTTCGTCGGAACGAAGTTACGGAAAATCAATTAACAAACGGAGACGTAACAATATCCATAGAACCTGTCTCATTATACAAGTTACATATGTTGATATCTAATATACCATGCATTTCTCAGTTTGACAGTGCTTAATGTATTTGTATTCCATCTTAATAATAATGACCTTACTTGTCAGAAAATATGCAAACATTTTGGCCAAAACTGTACAGTTTGAAATTGTTTGGCCTTTTGTGGGTAGTTCACGTGGGATACTCCGGCAATGTTTATAGAGAAAGCGGTAAGAAAAGGACAAGATCCATTAAATATTGAAGTATTAGTTTAGTTTTCATTATTCTTCATCTTTTACGGATTTCATATTCGAGCAGTTGTAAGAAATATGATTTATCTTCATTTTTGCTTGAAATAAGTCATCTTCAGTTGTAAATTTTATTTGATTTGTTAAAATCGTATTTTTCACTACCAGCTATAACGATAATGTTTAGTGTTTATCCAGTGATATAAATTATTGTTATTCTTGGTTCTATTATGTAGGATTTCACTGAAATTAGAAGGAATAGAAGTTTGGAGAGTTTCTTTGATTACATAAAAGTTCTGAACAGACGATAAAATTAGTTTTAAAAAAAAGACGAATTTAACTACAATTACGAAAGTGGAAGATTATAACTGCATTCACAGATTAAGAAACTTACTAGTAATATTCATATTGTTGCGTCAGCGAGGTCACGTGACTAGTATCTCGCCACTTCTTTCTCGAACCTTTGTGAATTGTCGGGAGATTACTAGATTGGGGGTAGGCTGGTATATATAAGATGGTCACAACGTGACGGGACAATGTGTAGGTAGTGAGTAATTGATCTGCAGTCAGAGAGTATTGTTGAAGTTAACGTTGGTTATTATAGCGTTTGTTTTAGCGCGAATGTTGAAATTAAGTGTATCGTAAAGTTATATTCAGAAAGAATAAACCAGTTTTATTTAAGAAAGGACTTGTGTCGCTAAAGTTTAGTTGGAAAGAATTTACGGAAAAATTAATTAACAAACGGAGACGTAACAATATTATCAGTTGAATAAACTGAAACCTTACGAAAATTGTTTATTCATTTTGGGATTCCTTTAATACTTCTCTTTTATATTTTTGTATAAATCAACGTACTGTTGCGTCAGCGAGTCACGTGACT